GGGTAATGAATCCTTCTAGATGTTAAAGATGAGTTACATGTTAACTTTCATGTTATTTACATAATAACTTTAGCTGCGAGTTGCTCAAGGTACATATATCCAATGAATTATTAATCCAGAAAGTATTTAACAAGACACTTTCTTCTTACCAAAGTTTTAATCATAAAGTGAATTTCTATTGGGTAATGAATCCTTCTAGATGTTAAAGATGAGTTACATGTTAACTTTCATGTTATTTACATAATAACTTTAGCTGTGAGTTGCTCAAGGTACATATATCCAATGAATTATTAATCCAGAAGGTATTTAACAAAACACTTTCTTCTTACCAAAGTTTTAATCATAAAGTGAATTTCTATTGGGTAATGAATCCTTCTAGATGTTAAAGATGAGTTACAAACATGGATACATATTTGTAATACACTTCCGTAAGATTATTTGTACCATGATACTTTATAAAAATATTCTAACAGGTTCTCTGTCTGATTCTTATTTTAGTTGCTTCAGAAAGTAATGGTGGAGAACAGACATCCAATCGATCTCCCAAAGTTAGCAGGAAATCAATTCACTACCAAGGTGTTCAACCTGAAAAGCTGAGACCAATATCTTTGGCTTTGAACAGACATCTAAATCATCTTATGGTAACTGGAAAGAAGAAAACCTTTTTTTTGTTAATCTTTAAACAAATGTTTATGAGGTTTGTACGTAAACGTAGGATAATACGTTTATTTTACATTTACAGCATTGAAGCAGTGAGAATTAACTCTGTATGTCCATTGTAAAGTGAAATAAGCTGTAAATATTTGGTCTTTGGTTTTCTTTATAAAATGAAATAATTCCATTTTTTTACTTGTGTATTCCTTTCTTTTTACATTTTATGTTAATTAGAAGTTTTGCTCTCTAGTGCCATAGTGGTAAGTCTGCAGACGTAACTCTTAAAACTGGGTTTCAGTACCTGTGGTAGACGCAGCCTAGATAGCCTATTGTTTAGCTTTGTGTTTTATTAGAAACAAATAATCCATGTTTGTTTTTAGTGTACAAGTGTAATTTATTGCTCATTTCACAAGTTTCTCCAAACACTCACATGTTTTCTATACTAATTATAATGACACAAAATATAATTAAGAAATTTTGAGTTCTTGTATCTATAACCAGTCAATCACAATGTTTACTAATCTTACAGCTCACCTAGAAGTACATGTTTCATTTTTAAATATTTATTGTTAAGTAAATATTCTCGCGTCTCTCAGGCCATGGTGACGGAGAAAGAAGAAGATCGAAATCGGCTAAGACGAGAACTGCACGCATCAAGAGAACGGATCCATCAATTACACCATCACTGTTGCAGCTTCCACAACCCCTCCGCCAATATCGACAAGCCTAACAGTTCAGTTTCTGTGTCAGAAGGGATGTATGGTCAAGAATCAGGTAGAAATCGCTGATTATTTAAATTTATTTGATTAGGGTTTAGTTATTAAGTTTGTCTGCTTTGAGAACAACAGTGGTGTGTTTTTTTTTAAGGACTAAAGAGGTGATAAAGTAAATGCTTATGGAAATGTATGGTGAGACATTTGTGTCATATTGGGAAAACAATAATAAAATTGATAAATTTTATGATATTAGTGGTAAAGTATAATGTATGGATCAGTGGATACATTAAACAAATGCAAAGAATTAAACATAAAGTATTATTTAGTTAATAATAAAAAAACAAACAAATACCATCTGCTTAATTCCAGTTTAAAATGAAATTGTGAAATGTACAAAACCTTATTTTACACACAGTTTGAAAGACTACTGTAGTATCAGTTTTTCTGTTTTCTATTGAAACTTAACAGTAGTGTGTGAATGAAAATACTGTGTGAACACTGTAAAAACAACTTGATAAATTTGAAGATAACTTATCAAGTTTTCTATTTATTCAGATGTTTTATCTGTAACATTGGTGAGAAATATGTAAGTCACTTTGACTGTTATTTTATATTTTTAAATAATGATTACCTTTATCAGTTATTTTATTATTTATTATTATTAGACATGTTTTATTAAAATAGGATGAGAAAAATGTTCGGACATACCACCAGATATTGAATTTCATGCAGAGAATGCTGACAACAGGTGAACACTTTGTACAGAAGAATTAAGGTTTATTGATGCTCTATCTGTCAAGAAGACATTGAAAACTGTTTATAGCCAAGATATTACAAACTTTGAATTTCCAGGAACAACTGGATGTAAGAACTTACAGTGAAAATGTTGTTTTTAAAAGTCTTGAATGTAATGATAGTGAAAAGTACCAGTAGATCAGTCATATCAAATATTGATTATGCTGTAGCAATACTCTGTCTTCTCTGAAAGGAAAAATTATAAGCCTAAATCTTGCCCATAATATATAAGTCATAACATATTTCAAAAGTTGTATATTGTTTAATAAAGTGTCTTTTAATAGTTTGAAATTAATAACATGCTGTTGTTGGTCAGATAATTGTAGGACATGGTTGAGTTCTTCTTTTTTTAATTATAGAAACCATTATTGAATAGAACAAATATCTCCTGGTGTTTGGAGGAAAAACGGGTGAAATTCTGGAACATCCCCAATAAACAGTTATACTTGAAACTACAGGGATTTTTTTTTCTTTTTTTTATAGATTCAGGTACTCATCTCTTAATAAAAAAATTATGTAATTAATTTTGTCACTGTTATTTTAATGTTGTGAAAACTATTGACTGATATTAATGTAATATAGTAGTATTTAGAGATTGTTATGAATTAAATATGTGCTTTGTGTCATAGCAACTGCAAAAAAGATGGTCTACAATCATATAATTTTCAAATTATTTAATAAAACAAATAATATGCCAGACGTCTTTTATTGTATATATATATATATATATATATATTTCAGATTATATTTTATTCAGACAACTCAATTCATAAAATGAATCTACGTGAGATGGTTTTCACTTTACATACGTAAAGCACACGTGTTTCTGACATTCTTTGTAGTTACTTAAGTTGTAGAAAACAAGGAATGATATGGTAAGACTAACGGCACAGTCTATAGGAGAGAAGGAATGATATGGTAAGACTAACGGCACAGTCTATAGGAGAGAAGGAATGATATGGTAAGACTAACGGCACAGTCTATAGG